GAATTTAAAATGGAAATGGTTGGGACAATCAAGGGTATGGCCCTTGGTTGATCAAATAATTGATTCAGGAGATGGGTTTGACTCGAGGGAGGTCTTTTCTTGCTGAAGTGGGTGAGAGTGTGAGACAAATATGAAAGGAGTGTTGTCGTATCCAAAATGTATCCCATTTTTACTCCACACCCTAATGTGTGCCCATAAATGGACCAATTCATTTAAGTGGCGCCCCACCTAATTAAATGAATTGTCTCATTTATGATCACACATTAGGGGGTGAGATAAAAATGTGGTACATTTTGGGGTACCTTTATCATTTGTGAGACAAACATGGAGTGGATGTTGCTCTTAAGCCTAGAGAAAGTTGAAATACTATGAAGGAAACTGTGAGTGCTCATATCGTAGGAGAACATAAGCGACTGCTTAGGGTTCATGAGGAAGCCGTCGTTTATATATACACATGAGGAAGCAGTCCAGTTCAATTGATTATTGACTCACTCTTTCTTATGGGAGATTTTGGGTCGAAACTCCACGGATGCAGTTTCAACTCACACAAGCCCCACGAGCCCTTGACCCTCTTTCGGGGAAAAAATATAGTACATATTTATGATGTGTGTAAATTTCGAGGTGTGAACCAGAAATTTCGAGTTGTGATCTTATATTGGAGCTTGATAATATTTTTGATCATGTGTGCAAAGTTCTTTGGTTTAATATTGTTTTTCTTACTAAAAATAAGAAATAATGTCCTATCCGTATTTTAAAGTTTGATACACTTTTATTTTTGGGATGAATTTACAAGTTAAGAAAATTCCTTAAAACAATTTTAAAAAATGCTAAAGTTCATAAGTAGGACTATCATTTTATTATTTCAAAAAGTCAAAATTTTGAGAATAAAACACACTTAGTCTTATTTTTTAACTTTGTGTATATTTTGATCCTATATTGAGCAATTTTTATTACAAATGTGCTATAATATTTCTCCTTTTGTAAGTTTTTCTTTAAGAATACTCAACTACTCAATATTTTTTCTACTTTTTATCTTCTCTTTCATACATTTACACTCACTTTCCAACTTTTTTACACCATTCATTAACCACACTACTTTCCTCCCTAAATAATGTGCCAAAGTCTATTGTACCAATATTTAAAGAGCTTTTTCCTAAAACATTACTAATAAAAAAGTCATGGGTAAAAAATGTGACTTGATAATTTTTTGTGACTATAATTGCATTCAAAGTTTACATCATAATCACTACATCATAGTAACTTTGAATACAATTATAGTTTCTAAAAGTTATCAAGTCCCATTTTTTTCTATCGCTTTTCTAGAAGTAATTTTAGTGAAATTTTATCATTTTTAAAATACGAAGAGAGTAATACTCTCTCCGGTCCTTATTAAACTTTACACTTTGACTTCACACATATTAAGGAAATAAATTTGACTTTACTGTAGAGTACACTGTTTGGCACAGTTTGACACTGTTTTGCACTGTTTGGTGTAGATTTGTTTGCCAAATAAGGTAAATAAGGAAGTGTAAAGTTTAATATGGGACGACCCAAAAAGAAAAGTGTAAAGTTAATTAAGGACCGGAGGGAATATATATGTATGATTAAAATAAAGGTGATAGATTAAAATGAAGGTGATAGGTAAAATTGTGATATCTTATACAACGTGATCATATATGTATCGACGGATTATGGGGTTATCTAAACATATTGTTAGGGAGAGATTGAACTAAAGAAGTGGAGAAGATGTGGGTTTGTGCCGGGCTCAACAGACCCGATTACATAAAATGACCAATAATATAAACAGCTAATCTAAAACAATCGAATAATAATAATGTACAATATTGTAAATGATATCCGCTAAATGTGTGTGAGTCATTGTCCATGCCCAATAGTCGTGAGACCGGGAGTCCAAATCTATATACTCTATCATGTACTACTATCTTTTAGTGATTATGATTATATTCAATTTTAAATCGTAATGACCACAAAGATGTACTTACAATAATTTTAATAAAATATCATTTCATTTATACATTTTATTCGAGTAATATTCTAGGAAAGACTCCAAAAAATAAGTAGGGAAAATTTCTGAAATATGAGTAAAAGCGTTTTGAAATCCCAAAATAGGACGACCATGTTTTTATTCCCTAAATAAAAGTAATTATTGTGAAGTTTGAAAAACAATGTCATATTTAAAGTCAAGTACTTTTAAAACATGACAATAATTACTTCTATTTCGGAGTTAAAACATGACAACCCTATCTTGAAATTTATACTATCTACTTATTTAGGGCAACTTCTCCAAATAAAAACTTTCTTTTTTAAACAATGAATTTGTCCAATTTCCTTTTTGTAAAAAGAATGAGAAGGTACTACTCTAACTCTTTTGCCCCACTCCTTTTTATGCAAATTTCAACCACAATATCTAACGATAATAATATAATAATAGGACTTAAAAGGGAGAAACCTCTTTATTATGGCGAAGCTCGTTTGATATGGTCAGACATACAAAGCTGATTTACCTCTAACGGACTCGCATGCTAAGCTTTTCATTTGCAACACTATACGCGATGTTGAAGAATACACAAACACTTCCCCATTCTCCTCTCTGCTCTGACATTCTCTGATGGCGAAGTCTAGCGCCGATGATGACGAGCTCCGGCGAGCCTGCCAGGCTGCGATCGAAGGCACGAAACAGAAGATCGTCATGTCCATTCGAGTTGCCAAGAGCCACGGCGTCTGGGGAAAGCCGGGAAAATTGGGCCGCGGTCAGATGGCCAAACCCAGGGTTCTAGCCATTTCCAGTACGCGAATTCTATCTTATATGCTTCTTGCTTCAATGCGAGGTTTAATTGAATTTGATATGTAGCATTTAACCCAGTCATGTTAAAAATAATCGAGATGAAACTTCTCACCCCATCGTTATTGTCTTATTTCATGGAATTCCATGAGTATTTCCTCATGCTTACTTCTATACTTTGTGGGTTATGCAGCGAAGCAAAAAACTCAGCGGACTAAAGCCTTTCTCCGCGTCTTAAAATATTCTAGTGGAGGAGTACTTGAAGTAAGTATTTAAGTCCATTTAAAAAAAAACTACATATATCTAAGTGAACTAATCGTAAGCTAAGGTTAAGTAGAACCATCACTTTTCATTTTCAGGCTGCAAATATCTATAAGCTAAAGCATCTTTCAAAGGTGGAGCTTGTAACCAATGATCCAAGTGGCTGTACATTTACACTGGTAGTTCTCACCTTTCATTTGTATACTATGAGAAGAATGTTGACTCGAAAAAATGAATTAACTGCATGCTGAACTTATTCTGCTCTAGGGATTTGATAATCTTAGGAGTGCTACTGTAGCCCCCCCTCAGTGGACAATGCGCAATGTTGATGACAGGTGGCTCAAACTTCCAAAATTTCTTGATTATTATATTCAGTTACTCTTTTCTTTATCAAACATAGTACTCCTTATATTTTAGGAATCGACTCTTGCTTTGCATCTTAAACATTTGCAAGGATGTATTGGGTGGTCATCTTCCTAAGGTTATTGGCATAGATGTGGTGGAGATGGCACTTTGGGCAAAGGTAAACTGGAAATATTTTTAAACATACAACATGATGTGCGTTCAATCACATTGATAAGTCAGGTGAATGATTATCTTTTTTATAACTGAAGCCTGCAATGAGTGGATCCATTTGTATGATATTTTCCGTTCATAGTCTAAATATATGTAGAGCTAATGCAGGAAAACACACCTGCGGTTAACAAGAAACAAAGTGCCATTCCTCAAGATGGGCAGCCGGTGGTCGTTGTGGAAGAAGAAGCAGATACGAAAGTGACTGTTGAAAAGGAACTCGTGTCTCAAGTAGAGGAGGAGGATATGGAGGCTCTTTTAGGCACGTAAGTAACTTCCTTCCATTTCTTATCCTGAAATGGAAACCTGTGCATACAGAGTAACAGGAATACAAACTGCACCTAGCCTTCTATGGAATAGTAAACTGTAGGCTTCTTTTTTTAAATTCATAGTCAGTACTGCCATATCAGGGATGAAAGACGAATTAGTAAAGTTGTTTTACTCAATATTTGGTACTTTCTTTCACGTTTTTTGTGATTGATCGATTTTGGAAGCCCAATGCCATGTTGGAATCTAAGATGTTATTGTCTGTTTACATTACATCAGTTTTTGTAGTGATGGAAATGAATAATTTGCAATGTATGAATAAACTTTAGAAACTGAACTGGAAAGCAACACACACTCTCTTCCTCTAAAGATGTGTTTGTACAAATCAAGCCACAAATTAAGCAGTAAGCACTCATCTTTTAGCTGCTGAACATATTACTTAATATTCTTCATTATATTAGGATGGAAACAAACGAAAGTAATCAAGATAGACCCATGTGTATTAGTGTATATATATTTGGGATTCTCTGGCAACTCTAGATGTTGTTTCTTCAATTCCTATATTTTTGCGTAGTTAATATTAAGAAGTTCGATTGAATCCCATACTTGCATACCATATTGGATCTTTCCACATATTCTCTCTTTAGCTGAATGTGTTTCTGATCATGTTTAGAGTGGCATGATTTACAGTTATGTCATGGGTATTGGTGAAGCTGAGGCATTTTCTGAGAGGTTAAAGAGAGAGCTTCAAGCTTTAGAAGCTGCAAATGTGCATGCTATATTAGAAAACGAGCCTTTAGTAGATCAGGTCACCTCCCTTATTCCTTTTTTCTCGATCTGTGTCATGACTTTTATCCCCATATACTTTTCTCTATTATTCTTAATTCTAATCTGCTAAAAATATGTTCGCTACCATTTTGTTGACCTGTTTATGGTAAGCTTGATGCGCCTCTATTACATATCCCTGTTTGCAAAGGCTATCAAAACTTATATGCTGGTCATGCTACCAGAAATGAATTTTATACATATACCTTTATTCTGAAGTTTCCATCATTTTCAATGGAGCCAAAGACTCACTATTTTTTGGCTTGGGAATATGATGGAATAAAGCAAAGTGGCTCACTAAACTGTCTGCGCTTCTTTGATATGAAGTAACAGTCAGTCTATGCAATTTTTGACGCGATTTTCACTTGGGTCATTCGGAAACAGTCTCTTTGTGCTTTTAGTACAGGGGTAAGACTGCGTACATCCGACCCCCCTTACCCCACCGTAGGTGGGAGCCTTTGCGGCACTGGGGTAATGATGATGATGACCTTTATTATGAAGATAATATGTTTTCAGCGAATGTTTTTTAATACTCCCCCTGTCCCACTATCTTTGTCTCATCTTTCATTTTTTGTCTAATATTTGTGTGCCTGAATGGATTTATGATTTACACAATTTATAGCAACCACATAATTCCACTTCCCCTTAATATGTGTGCTACTTTCCAATGTCCCAAATTTAGTGGGAAAATGGCAGTAGTACTTAGTGTGCCCTTGTTGGTAAACAATTTGCAAGCTATAACTCAGGGAGGAATTTTTTATACTACACAGTAATATTTGTCTTATCATAATATTATCCTCCACACCGTTATAATTTTCAAATCTCAAACGTATATTACCTTCAATTGCTCCCTTATCATATCAAGTTATTTGGTCTAGCTTAGCTAGAAGCTTCAACATTATGGTTGTGATGGTATTTTTTGTAAGCTTATAAGTTATAATAGTACTAAACAGACAAACTGTAAACCTCTACTTTCAGGTTATACTCTAATTGTAATTCTGATCCTACAGGTACTGCAAGGGCTTGAGTCTGCCTCTAATTGTGTTGAAGACATGGATGAATGGTTGGCAATATTTAATGTAAAACTTAGACACATGAGAGAAGACATTGAATCGGTGAGAGTCCTCTATATTAACTCTGTGTTGATGTTGAAACAAATCCATGTAAATGTAATTGATCTGATTTCGAACTGATACAAAGCTTGGTGATTTGAACTTTTGAGTTCTAATCTTTCTTCATTCACTTTTGAATGATTCTAGTAGTAAACTCACAAAATGTACTGCATTTTCAGCAGATGTACTGCATTTTACAAAATCAACTCATTTAGACAAAAAAAATGCATAATAATTCTTGACATTGACTACATGCTCTTCCTTTATTTACAGATTGAAGCTAGGAATAACAAGTTGGAAATGCAGTCAGTGAACAATAAGAAACTAATAGAAGAGCTTGATAAGCTTGTTGACAGATTTTGTATCCCTCCTGAGGTGATTCTCAATTCCCCTTTGTATCAAAGTTAACTTTTAACTAATCTAGGTGTATTAGCATTTGATCTTTTATCCTCTTAATTATTGCCCTTCTGGTTATGCAGTATTCAGCATGTCTAACGGGTGATTCGTTTGACGAGGCATGCATGCATCAAAATATTAATGCTTGCGAGTGGCTAACAAATGCTACATGTGGCCTTGAAGCACCAAATTTGGATTCTACTTTTGCAAATATGCGAGCCGTATGCTCACAATTTTATTTATATCCCCCTCATTCAATATAATGTTTCTCATCAATTTTCATGCTATATGTATCTTCCCTTTGTGGTACGATTCTTCGTTTCCATTAAAGTGATGCGTATGAATCTTTTGAACTGCTTACAGGTAAAAGAGAAGCGGGCAGAACTTCGGATACTGAAAATGAATTTTGCTAGGAGAGCTTCTGATTTCTTGAGAAACTACTTTTCCAGTCTGGTTGATTTCATGATAAACGACAAGAATTGTTTTTCGCAGGTTAGTCTCTTCCTTCTAACACTGTTTCGAAGTGCATGATCTTCATTTACTGGCACCTAAACTATTCTATACTGCTCATGTGACATTTTATAGCGTGGGCAATTGAAGAGACCAGACCATGCTGATCTACGGTACAAATGCCGGACATATGCTCGACTTTTGCAACACTTGAAGGTTAGGTGGAGAGTTTTGTGTGCAATAGAAGCGAGTGATAAAAACATTCTGTAACTTTGTTATTGAATAGTTATTGATTACTTTTTCTTTTCAAGTACAGATTCTTGACAACAGCAGTTTGGGATCACTAAGAAAGGCTTACTGTGCATCCCTTAATTTACTTCTGCGCCGGGAGGTTAGGAAACTTTTCATTCCTTGTATAGTATATTTGACCTATAAGCTGCTTCAAATTTACATTCACTCAATCTCATCCTCTTTTTAAAATTATCATTACTGTTGTTGTTGTTACTATTATTATTATTATTATTATGTGTTCTCTATTACACACTATTGATTTTCCAATTTTGCACCCTGACTCAGGTCACATTTTATGTGAATAAGGAGAGAGAGTTGGCATTGTGATGTATACTTGTCTATTACATTGTGTTTGGGTTGAGGGGTTGACGCAGAGGAGGGAAGTAACCAGTAAATGGGAGGAAAGAAGGGGAAGGAGAAATAATCTAACATCGTTTGGATTTGATAAGTTTAGTAAATGAGAAGAAAAGAAGGAATTATAAAGGATGATGATGTTTTATTGTTTGGATTATGACGGAGGAAGAAATATCTTTTAATTTATAAATATTATGAGTTGAGGTGGTGTCATTTCATCAACTTCCATTTGACTTCAAATCGGTGGGATGCCGTGAGGAGGTGTGGGAAAATCTGACTTATTGTCCCCCTTCATTTAATTCAAAGATGTGTGTTCTACCTCCATCATCCAATTCCCCTAATCCAAAAATACCCAAGGAGTCTACTTGTGGTACAAATGGCTCATTCATCAATTCTTGCAGGCTCGTGAGTTTTCAAATGAACTTCGTGCCAATACGAAGGCACCAAAAGCTGCAATTATATGCCTTGATGGTTCTGCAGGATTCAACCAGAATCTGTGTAATGTGGACACTTCTGCAGTCTCAGAGGCGTATTCTAAAATGCTTACAATTTTTGTACCACTAATGGTGGATGAGGTTATCCTTCTAACTTTCTCCCTCTCTTAATTTGGATTCTTTACCAAGTCATTTGAATTTGTGTGTGAGTGGATCTTGGTTAGACCAATAATGCTGTATCTATTTTTATGACTACAGAGTTCCTTCTTTGCACATTTTATGTGCTTTGAAGCTCCTGCACTTGTTCCACCAGAAGGTTCTGGCAGTAAGAGTATGCGTGATGAGGATGATTCCAAGTCTGATGATTTAGGAATTATGGATATTGATGATAACAATAATAACAATAATAACAAAGCAGGTTGTTTAATTTTTTATATCCTTATCTTTTCTAAATCCAAAGCAGATCTTGTGTAGTGCTGTAGTAATACCTCAGTCCCAAAAAATGGAGTCTTGTCTGACAAATAACAATAATAACAATAATAACAAAGCAGGTTGTTTAATTTTTTCTATCCTTCTCTTTTCTAAATCCAAAGCAGATCTTTTCTAATACAAGTTTTTTAAGTTTTGGTAAATGTAGAACTTCTATAAATCATGAATTGTACTTGTATTTTTAATATATCTTTGTTGGTTTAACTAAATCTATCGTATCTAGCTCCTCTAACTCTTTTTTGAATTTTTTGACAAAATACATTAAATATTAGCTTTGTTTGATCAATCTGGGCTCTTATTTTGAGACAATTTTTTTAAAACGCGGCTTTTTTGGGACAGAGGGAGTCATTGTGAACTCAGATTTTGGGATCTCCTATGATGAATAAGATGAAGAATATGATTATGATATCAAAATCTAATCACAATTTTGCAGGTAGAAGTTCTGCCGATCTGGAGGAACTGAATGAATCCCTCCGCGATTTGCTTGATGGAATACAAGTGTTATTCTTTTCATTTTCTCTCTGTAATTATAAGTCCATTTTTCAACTTACCTTGGTGATAAACACCACCCTCATCACCGTGGCATATCCTGATGAAAACCAGGTGGTTTCCATTTCCTTTTTATGTACGTTTAGGAAGACTTTTATGCTGTGGTAGACTGGGCTTACAAGATCGATCCTTTGCGGTGCATATCGATGCATGGAATTACAGAGCGCTTTATTCCCGGTCAGAAAGCTGACACAGCCGGATTCGTTCGCATCTTGCTTGATGACCTTGAATCTAGGATTTCAGTTTTGTTTAGCCGTGTAACTATGCTACTACTGCATCCCCTTTCTTATCAACATATAATATATACAGTTCCTGGAGGTTATAGTGCTGATATTTTAACCCGGGATCACAGTTTGTTGATGAAGCTTGTCATCAAATTGAAAGAAATGAGAGAAACGTTCGGCAAGCGGGAGTCTTGTTATATATTACTAGGTAAAACAATACTTTATTTATGCCTTTCTTGCATATCCTCAAGAGACTCAAGTAGATGAGCTTTGTCCAACTTTTAATCACATTTGAAGTAATTATTCCCCAACTTTGAGTTTTTAAGTACTATGTATAATGTTTATAGAGTTTAAATTCGTTTTCCGCATTTCAATTTCAAACTCACATATCATGTAAAATGTTCTTGAATGTGAAACAAAGTACATAAGAGTATTATCTTTATACTATTGCGTACTTGGTGAAGGCTATATAAAAATTAGTAATGGCCAAGTGTAACCAATAGAGTCTTATCATGTAAAATGTTCATGAATGTGAAACAAAGTACAAAGAGTATTATCTTTGTACCATTAGGTACTTAGTGAAGGCTACATAGAAATTAGTTATGGCTAAGCATAACCAATAGATTCTCCTATGGTATTTTTGTCGCCACTAACTTTCGTTGATTGTGTCTCATCGCATACTTTCATGTAGATTTGCCGCTCTTGCAACTCGTATGGAGCAGTACATCCAAGGGCAATCAAGAGACTTGGTTGATCAAGCTTATACAAAACTTGTGAGTGCTATAAATTCTTCAATTTTGAATAAATTATACAAAATAAGTGTGATAACTTGTGTTATAAATTATTGCTTAAGCTGAAGTAAGGCTATTATTAATAAACCGATTTTCATTCTTGCAACATTTTTCATTCTTGAAGCTGTTTAGCATCATCACATTAATGTTCTAGTAATGGGTATAGGTCTATTTTTTCTTTACAGTTTTTTTTAACTTTTTTGACAGGTGACAATGATGTTTGTGACTTTGGAAAGAATTGCTCAAGCTGACCCAAAATATGAAGATATCACGCTTTTGGAGAATTATGCTTCATTTCAGAATAGGTATTATCCAACCGATGCAAAAAGATAATTTTGAAATTTTCTTTCTCTTTTGACCTAAAATCTTACCATAAGGTGATGGGTCACACTTTATATGCAGTCTATATGACCTGGCAAATGTGGTGCCCACATTAGCAAAGTTTTATCATCAAGCTAGTGAAGCATATGAACAGGCTTGCACACGTCATATTAGCATGATCATCTATTATGTACGTATCCGAAATTCAGGATGATACAGTATATTATCTGCTTTGACTGATCGAAAAAATCCATTTTCTATAGAGTCCTTTAGGTAGGCATTACTTTGGATGATAAGATAAATCTTTCACTAAACACCAACTTATTTCACTATGCTGGTTGAATTTGATGATATTGAAAAAAGTAGACTAGGAGGCACTTTGTTGACCAAAATTACTTAAAATGACATTTCAGACTTCATTTTTTGTATTTCTATTTTCTTCAATATATTTAAATGTTTTTCAAAATAAATATTCATTTGCATAATCCAGCCATTTCAGCTGAAGTGTTAAGATTTCAACAATCCAGCCATTTTTTGCTTACCAAATGGGCTCTTGCTGTTTACACAAGACGGTTGTTTCAACATATGTTATAGTTTCCAGTTATTTATTTTCTAAATATGCATATAATGTCTTTCTCTGCAGCATTTTGAGAGACTCTTTGAATTTGCTAGAAGGATTGAGGATTCCATGTACACACTAGCACCCGAAGAGGTTATTTCTGTAAATTGTTGAATATATATATCCATTTATTTTCTCCACTAGTAAATCCACACTCCTATAGGCCATGTCTTGCTGAGAGGTTCAATCATCATCTGTAATAATACATTGCAATTAAATCCTATAGGCCTATAGCTTAGAAGCAATAAAATATAATTCTTGGCTCTGATTACCATAAGTAGTAAGGTAATCCATGTACACACTATTTTTCAGATTCCATTCCAGATTGGATTGTCAAAGGCGGATCTTAGGAAGGTGGTGAAATCAAGTTTATCCGGGGTAATATTTCAATTGGCAAAAAAGCTTTAAGATCAAAGATGTGGATGGTGTTGGTTGTGAATGATAAAGTTTTTTTTTCAATTGTAGGTTGACAAGTCCATTGGCGCTATGTATAAGAGATTGCAAAAGAACATAACATCAGAAGAGCTGCTACCTTCCTTGTGGGAAAAATGCAAGGTATTTTTAGAGATCTAAAATATTTGCATGATTAGTTAGTAGAGCCTTGATTACTTTCACCACCTTAAGGTAAAGAGAGGAGGCATTTGGTGCCTTAGGAACTGTTCCTTTGGTGTGGTGTCTAAACTTAGTTTAGTTAGATTTAGGACTGGAATAAATCCAAATGAACATGTCTTTACTTAAAATTAAATATCAAAAATGTGAATCTTTCGAGATCCACTTGGAACACAGAGAATGCTATGAAAGATAGGGAGAAAAATACACAAGATATTTGGAAGGAAATAAATTGTTGAGGAAAATTAAACTTCAGTATGAACTCTATTGATTTATTTTTAGTGTGGGTTTGAATTCATTCTTATTTATTTATTTATATATTTATAAATGTTTTTCATTTCCCGAGTTATTTCCCGGGGAGGGGTACTTTCCAATCTTATTTCCCAAACTAAGGTACTTTTAAACTTATTTCCCATATAGGGGTATTTTTCCCGTCATCACGCCATGTCAACACCCAAGTTAATTTCCATTTCCACGTCATTAAACCCCATATCACATGTCCATGTCATCACGCCATGTCAACACCCAAGTTAATTTCCATTTCCACGTCATTAAACCTCATATCACATGTCCATGTCATCATATAAACTCATGTCATCATCATATAAAATTATATGTAGCAACCCTATATGGGAAATAAGTTTAAAAGTACCTTAGTTTGGGAAATAAGATTGGAAAGTACCCTTCCCCGGGAAATAACCCTCATTTCCCTTTACATTTTTATTTATTTATATTTGTGCTATGTAAATACGTAGCAACATACACACACATAATCATTAAATGTTTTTCATTTCCCTTTACATTTTTCAAGGGAAACCCAATCATTAATTGTTTTTTGAAGATGCTGATTAAAAGTCTCACTTTTTAAAACTTTATTATCCAACCATTAACTATATTTTTTATTTTTTAAATCGCCCTGACTTCCTACCTTTCTTAAATTACGTTTTTATGAGTTGAAATATGGAGTCATTTAGACAACCGTTTATGACTTGTACAAATTAAATCCAGAGTAAAAGTGTAATGTAGGAGGGAGAATTGTTGGTGCTCACATGTCGCTGTTTTCTTAATATCAGTGTAATCATAATTAAGACATAAATTAGGATGAAAAAAGTGGTTAATCACTTAAGCTTATTTTTAAAAAATATCGCTAACTTGTTATTACGCCGTAATTCTAGCATGAGATTTTCTTTACAAATTACTCTCTTTTTAAATTATATGTGCAACCTATTAATGCACACCCGGCCTCTTAATTCATTGAGATTTTCTTTACAAATTACTCTAATTCATTTATCCGATTTCACATTTATTTAGTTTTTCTTGCTGCAAATTGTAACATGCATGACAGAAGGACTTTCTGGACAAGTACGAGAGCTTTTATCAGCTTGTAGCTAAGGTTTACCCTTCAGAGACCATACCATCTGTCCAAGAAATAGAGCATTTATGTAAATAAACTTCGGTCAATTGATAACAACATCCTCACCCTCTCTTAATATCTTTAAGAGTGATTATTAATACTTCTGCGATATTTCAATTTTCCAACCTGTCTAATATTGATAGTGTCGAAAATCAATATCACAAAAACTACTGATTGATAAAATACAAGAGTTGTTAAAAAAATCTAATGTTGATACCACAGAAACGTAGTCATAATAGAGAAGGGAGAACTATCAAATAAGGCCTCAAACTTACATAAAAAGTGCAAATAGGCCCTTTTATAGGAGGCTTTGTCCGGACGTCGTCATTTGAGGCGGTTCCAGGTGGAATTTTTTGATGAAACTTTTTTATCATCTTATTCATTAAGTCTAGTGTACTCATACCAAATGTCAGCTAAAAACTCAATCGGGAAGGCTGCCAAATGATTTTTTGAAGATAACTGCGCACTTAGACAACGCAGTATATTTCAGAAAATCATTTGACTGCCTTCTCGGTTTAATGTTTAGCTGAAATTTGGTATGGGTAAACTAGACTTAATGAAAAAGATGCTCAAAAAATTTCATCAAACAATTCAACCGGAAACCGCCCCAAATAGCGACGGCTGGACAGAACCTCCTATAAAAGGGCTGATTTACACTTTATATGTAAGTTCGAGGGCTTATTTGATAGTTCTCCCTAATAGAGAAATACACAAGTATCAGAATTGTTTTCAAAGCTAGTCACCATGCATTTTTTGATGGGTTCATGTATTCAGCTCGGGTCAACTATGCACATAGGCATCGACCTGGATCGCTCCGGTCCCGGTTCCGGGCCAAGACCATCCGGTCTAAGGGTGAACTTGGTCCCGCTCCAGTCCCGGCCATTGGTTAGAGAAGCTCGGATCTGACCAGGTTATATCCGGGTCTGTGCCGGTTCCGGGTACCCGGGAAGTTCGGTCCCGGTTTCGGTTCTATTTTTTTTGTTTTTGTTTTTGCTCGTTTCTAAGTCTAAAAAAGATTCACCGATCTGGAGCGAAACTTCCCAGTTCGGTCCCCAAATAGATAAATGGGACCTTTGTACCCCTATTGGGCGGAAAAGATTGGTCCCAAGCCCAAAACCAGAAATTGTTGATCTGGTCTAGTCCCAAACAATGCTGGACCCGGTCCCAGACCAGGCCGCACCAAGTCCACCCCTAATCCGGTCCTTGTCATTTTTGGATGAAGCCCGACTCTGACCCGGTTATTTTCAGGGCTGGGCCGATTCCGGATACCCGGTTGGTCGGGTCCTCGTTCTGGCCCCAGCCCCTTTGTATAATTTGTATTTATTTTTTAATTTTGCCCAGTTTCAAGGTGAAATAAAAAAATAGCCATTACCAGATTCAAATGAAATTACCAAACGGGTATTTTAGTCGAAGAGTTGATTGAGTTTTACAGGTAATAGTGTATGTCGTAGAAATGATAAAGAATTAAAATCATTCTTATTTTTCAAAGGTAGAAAACCAAATTAATGTTCCTATCACACTTTTCCTTCAATGAATTAACCTAAACCACCCGTACTCTTACGGATATACTATGTACAAAGTACTTTCCAAAAAAAAGGATGACACCCCATCCCTGAGTGCCCTCCAACCCCGACCGGACGGTACGTTGGGAGGATGTAAATTGGACTATAATCCCAATCTGACAGATAGAGAATAAGGCTCTGTCCCCGATACTTGCAGAGGTCCTATGCATTTTAACGTAGTAACCCCTCATCGCAGTTGCCGGGATTCGAACCCGGGACCTAACCCTTGTGGCACTCACTTGCTACCAGTTGAGCTACGCCCACCGGTTACAAAGTACTTTCTAGTTTCCACCTTTGCAAGGACTGATCCAGGATTTCTGGTCAAGGGGGGCGAAATTTTTCATGTGTAGGGGGTGAAAATTTTTCGCTAGTGTAGCGTGGAGAATTTTTTTCCACTAGTGTAGCGGGGCGATTTTTTTTGCTAGTATAGGGCTCCGCGGCAATTTTTTATTCAAATTTTTTTTATTAATACATACATGACGACATTTAAAACTATTACATTCTAAGTTTAGTCAATAGAAAAAAACTTTGATTTTATAATTGAAATGTTCTAAAAAAAGTATCGATACATTAAATTGCAAGACATAGCAACCCAAAGGAAAGTTATTTGAAGATAAAGAGTTTAAAAGGTATACATCCATCAATACTTTTTAAATAACTTTTGCCTTGTTTAACTTCATGAATCTTTATCTATGTAAAGAATTGGTTTTTGAATTACAATTTTTGTCTAACAAAGAGGGTGTTTGTGACTCATGAAGAGTTTTCTTATTATTACAATAGTATGTATGACATTATTATTTTTAGAATAGTATTATATTGCTGATTCATATATATGGTGCATATTATATTTGCATTAATGGTAAAAGTAGTTAAACTTTATTATCTATGCAATAATTAGTTTGTAGAACGTAACAAGTAAATGAATTGTGTAATTTAATGTCAACAAAAATTTATGGGAGAACTATCAAATAAGCCCTCGAACTTTCATAAAAGGTGCAAATAAACCCTTTTACAGGAGGCTTTGTCCGGATGTCACCATTTGGGGCGGTTTCCGGTGGAATTTTTTGATGAAAGTTTTTGAACATCTTCTTCATTAAGTCTAGTTTACCCCTACCAAATTTCAGCTAAAAATTCAATCGAGAAGGCAGACAAATGATTTTCTGAAATATATTGTGCTGCCTAACTGCGCAGTTATCTTCAAACATTCATTTGACTGTCTTCCCGATTGAATTTTTAGTTGAAATTTGTTATGGCTAAACTAGACTTAATGAAGAAGATGCTCAAAAAATTTTATCAATTTTTTTTACCGGAAACAGCCTCAAATGGCGAGGGCCGGACAGAGTCTCCTATAAAAGGGCTTATTTGCACTTTTGATGAAAGTTCGAGGGCTTATTTGGTAGTTCTCCCAAAATTTATATTTTGGATTCACCTCACATGATCTAAAAACTATTTAACTAGTGTGTCTGGTAGTTGATATTTTACAAAATCGAGTACTAATTATCTAATAAAGATAACTAAACATTACAAAATTAGGAATTTTTATATAATAAATATGTCAAGTATGTAAATTATTTTAAGTATGTAAATTATTTTAAACGTTTCTTCTTTTAAATATCCAATTAAGTTTTACATTATGTAAGACTATATATTAATTTTGAAGATTAAAATTTAAGGAGGGCGAAAACATATATATCTAATTAAAGTATGAAAATATTTATGAAAATATTACATATACTAGTATAATGGAAAATTTTAAAAATCTAAGCCCCTACGCCCCCTAAATCCATCCATGCACCTCTGTCTATTTGTCTTTAGTATTTTTTTAAGAATACGAGTACTTTGTACGGAGTATAAGATAATGATTTTTTATTCCACAAACAAATCACATGCGCGCATATTATCCAATGATTCCTCTTTTGAATGGAAGAAAATTCACTGGTCAATGCAGAAGCGGAGCCAAGGAGGTTAGGATGATTAACTGATCCAAAAAAAAGATTAGTTGACTTATGAAATCGAGAAATTTATCCCTCATATAACTAAAAGTTATTACTCCTATAAAGAACTGATGAAGTAATGAAGTTGTAGAGCATTGTTATATTTTGGACTTATACATGACTTCTATAATTTATTATGAGTACAACCTTATAATTTTTACAAAATCTACATCATCTAAATTTGAAATAAGTTTAATTTGTTGTATAATACGAAGTATATATCAATTAATAATTATATACTCTCTCCGGTCCTAAATAAACTTCACACTTTGACTTCACATAAATTAAGGAAATAAATTTAACTTTATTGTAGGGTACACTGTTGTGACACTGTTTGGTACTGTTTGACACTGTTTTGCACTGTTTTGCATTGTTTTGACTTTTGATGTAGATAATTTGCCAAATAAGGAAGGGAGAAGAAGTGTGAAGTTTATTTTGGACCTACCCAAAATGGAAAGTGTGAAGTTTATTTAGGACCGGAGGGAGTATAAGAATTAGGGAAAATGGAAACTAATAATCCAACATTTTAGCGGTCTTCTTACAATAGTCCCACTTTGATTATTCAGGAATAATCCAACATTTGCACCTCATCTTCATTCAGTGGTCTCTGACCGGTTGATGACCTGCTATTCCAAGTTATTTTTTTATGTTTGCAAAACATTATGTGACCATAAGGTGAGATTTATGGTATAATACATTGCAAAGATAAGAAAATAACTTGGAATAACGTGTGATCAACCGGTCAGGGACCATTGAATGAAGATGGGGTGCAAAGATTAGATTATTCCTGAATAATCAAAAGGTGGGACTATCGTAAGAAAGACCGCTAAAAGATTGGATTATTAGTTTCCATTTTCCCTAAGAATTATTCAATTTAAGCCTTTTGTATCAACGTAATTGGGTGTTTTGATATTGCGCATGTCTAAGTTTTAATGCCGTGAAATGTTTTTGTGACTCCTATTTGGACGGTACGAGGAGATTTCACCGCCCAAATTCCCACACGCCCAAACCGGCAGGAAATCGCTTTTCAACGCTCACCGTCTTTGACTTCTTTACACAAAACTGATTTGAGCAAAAAGAATGCTTATTTTATACGTATATGGGAGTATCTTCTTAACATATTGTTGCCTATTTATTTATCCAAAAGTGCAACCGATCATAACTACTAGAGAAAACGAACAAATATATGATTTGGTGAGTTGGCTGATGTAGGGCCAGTTGTTTTTTGGCAGACAAAACTAATAATTCCTCCGTTCTTAAATAAATGCAACGGTCAACATTTCACACTTACCGAGACACAACTTTGACCATTAATATAAATGATTTTGTATTAGTAAAAAAATTAAAAAAAAAATAGATTATGAAAATTTACAATGAGACAAGTTTAACAATATTTTTGTCATAAAATAATATTATTACATTAATAAATAAAACGTAATCAAAGTAGAACATGTGAATAGTGTAAAAGTTAAAGTGCTGCATTTATTTAAAAACGGAGGTAGTACGAAGTAATTTCGTTTTAATGTGAAAAGCTCATTGACTCATTTGTATTATCTAGTCGGTGGACTCACCTTACCTCACGAGTAGCTCAATTGGTTGAATGATGAGAAACCACACGAATAACTCAGTTGGTTAAATAGTTAG